GCCTACTACGGCTGGATCAGGTCGATCGCCCGACTCGATCGCCAGAAACTGAAAACAAACACGTTTGTTTTTGAGGCGATCAAGTCGGGCGATCGGCCCGATCGGCCGATCCCAGCCGTAGTGGGCACCCCGTAATACATTTAGTATTTTCTAGCGTGCAAAAAAACCTGTTTTGGTTATTGATTTAGACGATAAAAGAAGACTAGACGTTGAAGTATAGTACGTTCAGTTCATTGTATTAAGGCAACCCATTTTCCATCCATTTTTCCACGTCGTGCGGGGTTAACATTTCCTTTCCTTGAATCGACTTAAAGGATTTCCTGCTTTTTTAAATTCATGTTACCTATCGAAATTTCCCATTATCCAGAAAGTTCTGCATATTGTTTTACTCTCTTTGAATCTTTGCCGATGAAGCTGTCAAATTTTGAATAACAAGAAGGCTTTATAATCCCCCCTCCCAACCCCACCCCCTGAGGTATCAATCAATCTTCTCATTTGACTATCTAGGTGAGATGTAGTCTTCTCTGAATCGGCTCAACCCGAACGTTACGCGACCCATACTTTAACTTTGTCAGTTGCGTGTTTACTGTGTCGGAGCAACAGCCTCTGATCAAGGATTGCCAGAATTTTGTTTTTCTGGATGGATCGAAGAGTCTATTTTATTTCAGCTTCTCAGCACCTCTAGCCGTTAATCGTTAATCATTTTTGTCAGATAGCACTGCTAAACATGTTAGTTGTGTGTTCGGGATGGATGCTGGGTTCGGGGAGCCTTCCTCAATTCTAACACAAAGTTTGCTAAACTTTAAATGTGTGGCATCAAATCAAGTTCCGCCCTAACAACTTTGCTTGTTTTTATACACTGATTCCGAAAACGAAATCGGTTCGTAGCTGCGATAATAATTTCTAAAGTTCTGCAAAGTTTAAGGGGGTCTAGCTATGGTCAACACCCAAAGACTATAGTTTTTGGTCTACTAATGCTTGCTTTTCTGCACACAAGGGTGTGACATAGACTCTAGTACCAAACAAGGTTTCCAAGCAAGAAATTCAAGATTTTAGCCATAAAAACTCGAGCCATCAAAAATAAAGGATTGATTCTGCATTTTTCTAACCAATTTTATATTATGTCAATTATCAACGCTCATGGAGATAGAAGCCTAATAGTAGACATGGCGATTACTGTTGGTAGGTAGATTGACCTTACAGAGCCAAATTCTGAGAAAACTGCATAGAGAGATAATTTTTTGTGAAAATTGTCCTACATTGCTACCTCTCTCAAATGCATTTTCCAGCTATTTATAAGTTTGAAAAAGAAATTAGGCTTCTAAAGAGGGATTCTTGATATAGATACTCTATAAAGATACTCCAAAATCCGAAAAATGATTTTTTTTCCTATACTTTTTCTTATCTGAGCAGTGGCGGAAAACTTCAAAGGGATTCTACGTCACAACTCGCCTCTCCCATTTCTGACATGAGATTAGTACGGTAGTTGAAACTGACAGTTAGCTGTCCTTCCTCTTTGTGATAAAAACAACTACATGGTGCAATCTTGCTTTTTTTTTTTAACTTGTTTTTTCCTGTCTTCTAAATTCAACAACAACAACAACAGCAACAACAACAACAAAGAGTCAGTGGCGTCCAAAAGAAACTTAAAAATGTAATCACACAATCATCATGTTAAAGTGTTGCATTCGTGCAGCATATCAATTTAAAGCTAAATGAATTATGCATCATTTGACACATTAATATTTCATCTGTTATTACTGTTAGGAGTTGCCAGAGTTGTGGTCACTCGAAATGGACTTTAAAAAATCAGGCTTGGCAATATTGTGCAAAATCAAAGAAACTGTAAAGTGTGTTCTCGCCTTTATTGAGATCATCAGCATTCGCGGAATGCACATGTATTGAATTATATCAAATGAATCGATAATATCTCTGCAACGAACAGCATCTTCTGATGATATTTTCATACAGATTGGAAAACAGAGTAGTTACAAATACATGTACCACGCAAGGCCTGAACTTAACAGTGACATGTGTTCATTAGCTTTAATTTTGTCTTTGTTTGGGAGCTATTGGGTTCATGTTTTTGGACATGGAGTCTGTTACATTTTGAACATAATTGTCTGTCAGTTGTTAGTGAGGAACAGAGACCACGAAACTGCCATGGTTTTGGGTGGTCTGGGGTGGAATAAACAAAACCACCCTCGTGAGAATCACCGGATGGCTTGGTTTGATGGACTACATCGCGCAAGTGCTGGAACGTCCTGTCATACCCCGATTTTCGTCTTGGTGTCATTCAAGTAGATGTCTCCATGCATAGCAAAGCACTTTCTCTCAGAACCAATGCCTCTATATAGTTCTTGGAAAACCAAACCAAATCAACGTTGGAGTGGTCACCTGTAAATAGCCCCGATATGAATCCTACAAGTGTGTGAAGTCCCATGAAACAGCAGCTGAAGAAAAGCAACTTCACTCCCAATTCAGACCCTTTATTCTTGCGCAGTTGCGAGCGCCGTAAAACTCTTTACTAAAACAAGACCCTTTGTTTGCAACTCTCTGTGACTTTTGGGATGAAATGACAAATAACTGTGTCCAAGATTTAAGAGTCGGTACCCATTGGGTTCGCGGATACAAAAAACAAAACAAAACGACCCCCCCCCCCCCCCCCACACACACACACAAACCAATGGCTCCTAAACAAAGTAACAATTAGCACATTTAATGTTATATCCAAGTTTTGAGAGGTCTTTGTGATTTCTCTGTTTTCCGTTTTGTTTGAAACTATCGTGACATCGTGACAAAATATCGTAATAAAATACTGTTTATTGCTGCTGACACAAATTTCTCCCTTCATTGGATATGCAATGTACGTCGTATGTCCTTTCTGTCAACATTGGTGCTCCTCAACATACGCGCGAAGACAATTTGAGGTTTCTTTGATTTCGCCCAATTTTGCCAAGCCTGATTTTTTAAAGGTCAGTTTTGAGTGACAATGACGTGGGAGTCTCTTAGCATAGGGGAATTAGTAATGAGTCAGATGAAGCAGAATTTATTTGGCTTTAAAGTGATATGCGAGGCTTAAACACGATGACTAGGTGATTACATTTTCAAGTTTCTTTTGGACGCTACTGTATACATAATATCTATCTATCTATCTATCTATCCATCCATCCATCCATCCATCCATCCATCCATCCATCCATCCATCCATCCATCCATCCATCCATCCATCCATCCATCCATCCATCCATCCATCCATCCATCCATCCATCCATCGATCGATAGATAGATAGATAGATAGATAGATAGATAGATAGATAGATAGATAGATAGATAGATAGATAGATAGATAGATAGATAGATAGATAGATAGATAGATAGATAGATAGATAGATAGATAGATAGATAGATAGATAGATAGATAGATAGATAGATAGGTCCCCCCCCCCCACCACACACAGGTTATTTACACAAAGTATTTTGGTTGTCTTTTCCGGAAAACCTGAGGTTTATTAAAAATATGTGTTAGGGAAAATAATTGAGCAAAATTCAAAAATTTTCATATCATATAATCTAAGTATAAGGGACTTAACCGAATGTATATATATATATATTAATATGATATAAATTTGTTCTTCTTGCTCCTGAATGTTCCACCCCATCTGCTGTCTCTTTTGGATACATCTTGTACTCTGAATGCAGTTGGTACTATGGGATTTTTGGTGGTTTTTTGTTTATTTATTTATTGTAAAAAAATTAACTGTTTGAAATAAAAATATAAAATGTTAACGTGCGTGTTCTTATCATATAACATGGGGTCGGATTCACAAAGGAAGATTTTTTTCCAACTGCATAGTTTTTCTTTGTTTGTTTCTTTCTTGTAATGTCAGTAATGGCCTTTTCTAGTATTAGATTGAACAAATTGGTCAAACTTTCTTGCCCTATTTTTGATATGTCTATAAAATCAATGATTAAATCAGTGGGAGAGGCAACAATAAAGTGTGAGAAAGACATGAAAAGGAGGGAAGCACTGATTCCTGAAGAAAGTAAAAAACAATAAATGAATATAATAAAAGAAGAATGGAAAAAGTAACTCTTCATGAGAAAAATCTAAAGCATTCAAAGTGATAGTTACTTAGTGTTGACTATGTGTATTCATGTGTTTGTACTTCACTGTTTCAGCCTGGACTTTGAGTCATTTTTGCTGACTGAACTTACTGACAAGGTAAGCTTCATAATGTTTTATGAACTTATGACTGTATGCTAAAGATTTAAATTGATTCCCACATGGAGAAGTCTATTTTACCCAATGTCTTTCTGTTGGGATGATGTGTACAATAGCTATCTCTTAATAAATGTCCAGTGGATGATTCAGTTCCATGTGAAATAAAATAGAATGTTTATGGTTGTGACTCGCTCATTCAGAAACTGACCAAGTTATTCAAAATTATGTTTGAAAATGAAGGGCTACCTTAGCAGTTCAAATACTCAATAAGTGTGCATTTATGCAAGACAAAGGTGATCGTCAGTGCTGTGACGTTCATCGTGGCATTTCACTCCTCTACTTTGCTTGCAGGATTCTTGCCATAATTCCTCTGAACTGCATTTTTGTCTTTCTCTGTACAAATAATTTACTGCCATAAAGTATGGCTTTTGTGTTCTGTTTGTGGAAAATCTTTCTTAAAAATAGTAGTACATGTACTTGAAGGTCACAAGCGAGGCCATAAGGAGGTTAAAACAACTAACCGTATGTTAAAGAAGATAAGCATGCTGCTTTAGGAAAGGGAGAGGCGCTGCTGTCTGCGGCGAGTCATGACATTTGTGTCCATTACAAGTTGCTTGCTATTTTTTCCTTGGAGATGGGGGCTCCAGTCTCTTGGCCAGGATAGCTACCTGTGCTAGCTGGCAAGATCTATAACTTCTCTACCTCCTTAAATGTTAAAGATCCTTATCAGTTCACGAAGAACAAACTATTGTTATTACTTTTTCAAAAAAAAATATAACAGTAAAATATACCTGAAATGTTTGCAAACAATTGTGTTGTGAGGGTAAAACCGACCATGTTGTGAATGTTGTGGTAATTATCTTTTTTTTTTATTTACAGGGTTTGAAGAAGCTTGGTTTTTCTGTTGAGAATTCCTACTCAAACATTCAGAAATTGGTTGTGAGACAACTCCAGAGGTATGAAACTGCTGTTTGTTTTGTTTCTTTATATATTTGTTGAACTCTCAAATATTTCGAACAAAGAATTTCAGTCCCCGGAGACTGATGGCAATGCCATCTTTCCTTTTTGACTGTTACAAATAGTCAAAGACTAGTAATATTATATTTTGGAATTGTGTTTGAACGTGTATTACAACTTTGATATTTGTGACATGATTTGGAGTTGAACTGTAAAAATTAACATGAAGAATAGTACAAGTATGTGGAATTGTGGGTGTTTACAGGTTATGACACCCCTATTATTGGATTTTTTTGTTTTGGGTCATTTATTTTGTTTTTTAGGTAATAAAAGTTATTCAATCTTCAAGTTGTGATATGATTGTTCATAAACACACTTTTTTAAAAATCCCAAAATATCTTGTAAAAATTATTAGTTTGCCTATATAGACCACTTTTTGTGGTAAAAAGAGTGTTTAGTGATTTTGTAAAAGTAGTGTACAAGCTTAAGGATGAAAATTTTTTTTTTTTACACAAATCAATTTCAAATCCCAGTTCTTTCAGTCAGCCAGAATTGAATGATTCAATATTGGTTTATGAGAATGTTTGGCTTGAAAACCGAAAGAAAAAAACGACAACTGTGTAAAAGATGATGTAGAGATAGATTTGTCATAGTAGGGAAAAGGAACTACTACAGTACTTTGCAACATATAAGGACTTTGTTTTTTTGTCAAAATGTGCAAGTATCATTACATGCATTGGGTGCATCTGACTACGACCCAATGAGTGTAGACCTTTTTTAGACAGTTCGAAGAGGAGTCTGAAGTGTGTGCTACACTGTAATGGAAATTCATTTGGGTCAGTTCCTATTTGCTACTCGATTCTACTTAAAGAAAAATGCAGGCGCACAAAAATACTGCTGGATTGACTTGAATACAGGCACAACTAAAAGGATTGTGTTGATCTGAAAATTGTTAACTTCTTACTTATCCAACTGGATGTATATATACAAAGTATCCACGTTCTCTTTGTCTGTGGGATAGTCAAAGGATAAACACTGGAACAAAAAGATTTGACCAGTGAGGACAGCTTTAATAGTTGGAGAGAAAAATGTTGTCAATGAACCATTTGTGTCGTGGGGAAAAAAATCATCTTTCCTCCCCTTCATATCAAATTAGGCTTGATAACAATTCATAAAAACCCTGGACTTTGAAAGAGGTTGTGTCATATATATATATATATATATATATATATATATTATCATGGTGAAATCAGCCACTCGTCAAAATTATACATTTGGAGAAATTGGCATTTTTCCGCTGGTATGGCAATTCTTACCAAATTTTTGTTTTTTTGGCTTAACCATTTTTTTATATGTCCATATAAAAGACCCATTTCTGTGTGGATTTTTACTGGAAAACATTGCTTAGAGACACAAAAAATGTAAATTTGAAATTTCCAAGGACTCTCAAGCTTTGGAAGTCTCTAAAATTTGGCAGCCAACTCTCTAATTTTACCTTTGAAACATGGCGACCTCCACCTCCAATCGCAAATAAACAGGTGGTTAATTTTTTCATTGAAAGCAAGAGAAATAAACTGGCTTTAAGACTATAGCTCTAACCCTATTACTGACAAGTGCCTGATTTCACACACACACACACACACACACGCACACACACACGCACACGCACACGCACACGCACACGCACACACGTGCTCTCGCACACACGCAGGCATGCACGCACGCATACTCACACAAACACACTATATTATATATATATGAATATTCATCACGCCATCAAACACGGATAACTCGAATTCGTTGGGGATTGGAAATTGTGTTTGATATTTTGTCATGTACCTGAAAGCCCCAAATACAAAGAAATAGAGAGAAAATCAAGATATGTAAAAGAAAAAGGAACATTAAAACAATTAACGGTTAGCTCCCTCGATGAACCTGTTGACAGTGAGTGTGACAGCAAGAAGATAAATGAAAGCGTAAAGCAGACAATCTCATGTGTGCACAGCCTTCTCCTACGTCATTCCTTTACTTTCATTTCATTGGCTTACAAAAAGTTACACCCCTGCCTGTGTGGTGAGCCAGTCATTTGGTGCGGTTAACATCACTCTCCAACCTTTTCAAAAAGGGACAAGGAGTGGATTAACTAGATTTCCAAAACGTGACTTAGAATGATTGCAAGACATAGAGTTTTTTAAAAAGTCCAATCCCTGTCTTCTTTCCCCAGAGTAAGCCAGAATATAACTGCTCATCTTAGTGATCTCCATGGAATGTCACAGTGGTATGACAGGTATGCCTTATCTTTCCCTTTCTCCCTTTGTATCTCTCTCTCTCTATTATATATATATATTATATA